CTTTACTCTCGTGACCCTCCCCAGTCCTACTGGCCAGATGGCTGCCTGTCTCAGGTTTCCATCAGGCTTTCTTGATTCCCTGTTACTGAGCACCCTGCCTAAAATTTCAGTTTCTTCTCCTGACATTTCCTAGCCCCCTTTCTGCTTTGTTTGTCCTCTTTAACATTTAATCAATATCTAATCCACATATATCTTACTTATTCATTGTATCTCACAGCAGAATGTCATGTTTCTCTGTTTTGGTCACTGCTGTACCTGCAGAACCCAGAACAGTGCCGGGCACACTAGAATCTCTGAGCTTCATTGAACTTTCCTTAAAAAGTCATTGAGTTATAACATCCGGTGCTTGTTAAAAAATAATAGAGGATGCCCCATCAGTGTGGCTCAGTGGTTGAGCAACAACCCATGAACCCAGGAGGTCACGGTTTGAGGGCTCAACCCCCAGTAAGGAGCAGTGGGAGGTGCAGGAGGCAGCTGATCAATGACTCACTCTCTTCATTGATGTTTCTATATCTCTCTTACTCTTACTTCCTCCCTGAAATCCATTAAAAGAAACATAGTTTAAAAAATAATAGAGGAGGAGAAAGAATGAGCTAGGGTTATAGATGGGGCAGGAGTGACTGTAGATTGACAGACACCGGAGCTGGGGGACTAGCTCAGAGGGTTCATTACACTCCTGATTACTACAGTGGATGTTCACCATCCTTCAAGTAAACATTATAAAGAAAAGGTTTAATATCATTTAACTGTCTTCTCTCCTCACCCACCAATCAGAAACAACACGTCTCTGCTCAGCAGGCCGGCAGATGTCCCCCTAATCCTTCCCTCTGGTTAATCCGTACAGAGAGGTGGCAGGTGGCAGGCGTTGGTACAGAACACAGAAGCCATCATTCCCACAGCTTGGCTCTCATGACAAAAAACAGCTTAAGATATCAATATGGAAAATATGTCCAGACCTTATGACTTAGATTTTTTTTTTAAAGCAAGGGATCGATGAGCACAATATTCCTGCTAGTGGTTATCTCTGCAGGGGAGGGAGGCAGATGAAAATGAGTGCGGACCATCCTCTCTTTCTCACGTCAGTGTTGAATTCATTATGATGCTTCCCAACTCACACGGACTCCATGTACTTACTAGTTGTGTGCATCAAGCACCTCATGTCTCATGTGTGTATATTACAAATCACAGAAATCATGCTTTCACAAGCAAGCAAATATATAAATATATCATAATATAAATAAAATAACTTTATGTGGGGTCGGGCCTAAACTGGCAGTCGGACATCCCCCAAGGGGTCCCGGACTGGAGAGGGTGCAGGCTGGGCTGAGGGACACACCCCTCCCATGCATGATGTTCATGCACCGGGCCTCTAGTAATATAAATAAAATAACTTTATTGAAGTTGTGATCATGAATACCCTGATTTTAACTAAAAGCTGAAATTAGCCAGGATATGAAAAGGCTTTGGGGAAACTTTGCTGTCTTCTACCACCAGCCAGGCACAAGCTTGATGAAGTCGCCGGCAGCGTCAGATGGCAGAGTCAGACGACCTCCGCTGACAGCAAAGGCAGGACGGGCTGCTCACAAGAGACACAGTGTCAACAGTCTCCTGAGTGAAGCACCCCGTCCCTCCCTGCAGGCTTTCTATTATAAGTTGCTTTTTTAATAAAAAATGTAGAAACAGATCTCTTCTCCAAGAAAACGAGGATGGTGGAATATGCACCCAGGAGACGGACAGGATGCGCAGGAAGTGAGGGTAGGTAACAGGAGTCCTCCCGAAGCCAAATGAACTCCCCTGGGCAGACTCGACAGTCTGGCTCTGCTTATTACACACCCAGACGCTCCCAAGCTGCTCCCGGCTGCCTTGTGAAGTTCATCAGCACAGACTTCACCCACTCAGAGGGAGGTCCAGAAATAGCACTGTCTGGCCTAAAAAGAGAAGCATCTTTCTGGCATGTGAGCCAGTGTGTCCACCCACTTGTACTTATTTTTCCCAAGTAACTACCGGTTCCTTAAGAGGGGAAGAACGACACAGCCAGCATCCGCTATGCCACAACCTTGTGGCGAGGCGTGCGGATGGCTACGGGTTTTAAGAGACAGCCCTGGCTGGTATGGTTCAGTAGGTTAAGTGACGTCCCAGGCACTGAAAGGTTGCTGGTTCGATTCTTGGCAGAGCACATGCCCAGGTGAGTATCAGAAGCAACAGATCAATGTTTCTCTCTCGCATCAATGTTACTCTCTCTCCCTCCGTCTCCCTCTCCCTTCCCTTCTCTAAAATCAATAAAAACAATGTTTTTAAAGCAAGAGACAGAGTGTATATTCCTTTGCCACCCTACTTCTAAGTCCAAAACATTTTAAGACGTCTAAGGGAATCATCACTAATGTTTATATATTTATAGTTCTAACCTCCTTAAGTCTCAAGTGACAGGACGTGACAGGGGAAGGTGGGAAGATGCAGCGCTGTGGAGTGGCAGTGGCTTCAGGAGACAGGCTCTAACCCAGACCTGCTACTGGAAAGTCCTCCCTGTCCTTCCTCATCTATAAGAGAAAGACGATACGCTCAGAGTTCTACAACAAAGCCTTGTCTGAGACGTAGGGTGCCGTCACTGGAAGTTCCCACTGCTTGCGATGCTGCCGTCTCGGAATAGTCAGTCAATCACCATGTTTAGGGAAATTTGTGGAAAACTGCAAAGTTTAAAGAGGCTCCACAATAGAATAAACAGAGTCTAAGAGAAAGGCTGAAGGAAGCCATAGACTCTATGGCATAGAGGAATATATTGGTCAAAAAATCTCCCTCTCTGCTTGATTCCAACAGTTAGCATTGAAATGGGCTACCTCCAGATTTTTGATCTTTCAAAAGTTTGAAACATCACCCATGTATGATGATTTGAGAGTATTTCATAAAGTAATGGGGAAAAAGCAGACACCCTAGGATCAATCTTTCTAGGGTTCCAGCCAAGCTCCATGTAGCTGTGCGACATCAGGTGTGTAACTTCATCTTTCTGTGTATTCAGTCCTTATCTGTAAAATGGGGATAATAATGGCTCCTACCTCACAGGACTATTGTGAGGATTCAAATAATAATGTACACAAAAAATACAGCAGTGACTAATCTATACTAAATACTTGCTGATAGTAGCTATTATTATTGTTAATATTTCACAGGCAGGAGAACATGTGTATAATTGATGCTCTCTGAAGACTCCTCTTAAATACCACACTTCAGAGACCAGGTCAGAATCACCGTCATGCCGGGGCCACCGTACAGGAGAGCAGGACAGGGCTAGAGGGAAGGGTTATGGAACCCTGGAGGCCAACCCTGGGGTGCACGGGACATAGCAAGAGGAGCTGGGGTCCAGGTTGTCCACTATACCCAGAATAATCCAAAGTCACAAAGTCAAAATAGACTTTTCGTATCAGAAAATACCCAATCTACTCATCATTCCAGATTCCAAACTATGTCCTACTTTCGAGTTCTTACAATTCAACCTATCAACACGTGAACCTTCTACCGTGAGCCTGCAGAGGGCCAGGCCGACAACAATCTACTGTCTGGGGAGCTGTTTTGCTTATATTCCTAAACTACCATGACACATTAGAGTTCACCTAATCCTTCTAATTAAGCACTGTCCCACAGACCTTTTCCTCTCTCTGCTGATCAACACAGTAGTCAGGAGCTGTATGTGGCTGCTGAAGTGACACCAAATTTTTACTTTATTCCATTGTCATCCATTTAAATTGTAGAGTCACATGTGGCTAGGGGCTCCCATGTTGGACAGTGCAGGTTAGTCCACTGGGAGTGGCTGTCAGTAGGCCTATATTAAAGGGATCCTAATGACAGCCTGGCGCTGACAGGAAAAATAAGATGGATATTTATTAACACATCTATTTCAAACTAATTTCCCTAAATCTTTTAATTGGAATGTTGCTTTATTTCTATAGTTGATAGATCAGACGTGTGTTCAGGACCAGGGATAGGCCTTAATCATATTTACAGCCACAGTCACAGGATTTGCTCTCCTATTCCCTTCCACCAAAGAGAACCTCTCTTTCTAACATCTGCAGTGATTCTCAGATACTTAAGTGTCATTTTCTGCTCTTGGAAGAAATAAAATTGGCTGGAAAGAACCAGATTATAAAAGAAAGAAAGGGGGGAAAAGGACTTTACCCAGGATAATACTTAATGCCCCTCAGTACTTAGAGGAGAAATATTGACTTTTGGCAGTTTTACAAAAGTATATAAAATTAAGAGGGTTAAACCATCAATTATTTTCAGCTACGTTATAGGCCTTTCTTCAGTAATTTACAGATGTGTGCCATGACAGGTCATCAAAATGATTCAATAAGTAATAAAAAAAAAAACATTACACAGAGAGAGTAAACCACATTATCTATTTTAAATGAAGAAACTATACCAAAGCCATTGCTAAAGAAACCACCAGACCTGAGTTGAAAGTACCACATCCCCCAGCACTTTAAAAACAATACACTTTACTTTCTAAAAGAGGAATAGAACTGTAACATTCGATTGTGTCAAAAATACCACTGTACTGCCTCCATGAGATACCATTCTGGCCACTGTATGCAGGAATCAAAGAATGTCACGCACAACACCGCCATCTTCCCTAGAGAATCCACAGTTTCTAACACAGTAAGAATGAACTTCTCCTGATACAAATAACTATTTTCCGGGGGTTCTGTCTATAAAAAGTCATGTTGGGACTGCACCCGAGAAGCTGTATTTTACCCAAGGACCAGAGATGTTCATGAGCTGGTCCCATCATATTCTGGTGAGACTCTCACAGCCAGAAAGCAACCATCACAGCAAAATTTCAGCTATCGTATATTCAAATCGAATCCTCCCATATCCCAAACAGAAAGGCTGTCGTTGTGTGTCCTCCAAAAATGAAATGAACTGTTGTGCTTTTTCTTGAACTAATAATAATACAACATCAAGTTGAAAATGCACACCAGGAAATCGGCGAGCACCCCCACGCTTACCTCCACCACTGTGGTTCCCGCAGCTTTGCACATGGGCAGGTTGAAATTCCGGGCACTTTTCCTACACCAGAGGCGGAGGGAACAAGGAAATGGGGAAAGAAAATCAAAAGTCAGAAGTGTCTCCTTCAACTTTAATTACAGACTAAAGGAATGTCTATAAACTAAGAACCTGCGAATCTTTTCGGAAAGAGTGTATCATATCTTCTGTCGACAAAGTTCTCTTTTTTCTTGCTTTTTATTTTTTTTCCAATTATAGTTTCCCTTCGATTAAAGTTCTATAATTATTTCATAAGTAAAAACAATATGATACCCACTTCACTTCACTCAATAATATAGCTTTTTATAAGGCTGAGGGGCTATTTTTCATATTCAACATGCAGATTTTCCACAGAAAAATAAAATGGATAGTAATACATCTATTTGAAACCAATTTCCCTAAATCTTTTAATTGGGATGCTGCTTTACTTCTATAGTTGAAGAGTTCACTAAACTTGCTCTATTAAAATATTCAGGGAAAGTAGCAAGGACTTTATAGGAGAGGGTACAGTATTTCCATTCTCTATTAAGGAGAAGCCTGCTGCTGAAATTAAGTACAACATTCATTGGTAACTTGTGAGTCACCTGCAAAGGTCATCCTGGGAAGCCAATTTCCAATGAAAGTACAACACCCACATCAGACACGGAGGTATAAAAATGTCAAGAAGGTGCCAATTTCACTGATGATTTTGCATTCCCAAGTTCCTGCACCAATGTACTTCCTCTAACCATAAAAATGTATATATATGTTTGTTTCTGAGAGTGTATGTTGATAGAAAATCTTCTTTGATAAAGGGCACTAAGTCACACTATGGTTTACTGGAGCTTTCAGGCCACCAATGCCTATTTCACTTGGATTCAAAGACAGGTGTAAGGACAGGTGTGTCCTTGTGTGCTCCCAAGGCAGAGTGGCACCCCCACTTTAACCTCGGCCTAGACAGACCTCTGCACCAGGTGTCCACTCTTCTAAAGTCAGTATCTTAAGAATCGAAGTGACTTGACCATGGGTGATATGCGCTCTCATTTCACATCAAAGCGTAATGTGTACTTGAACCACAAGTATAAAGCCTGTGCTTAAAATAGCCCTGTGCAGTGCTTAGATACCGGGGCCAGGCAATGGAGCACGGGATAAATTCATGGAAATATTTTAAATAATTCATCTCCATTTGCTGCTATACAATTTCATTACTTTTTTTTTAAATAGCAATTGAACTTCGCAAACATTACACCAATGTGTCAAGTGCGATAGATATGATGCAAAATGTCTTCTGTAATGGCCAAAGTTAGCTGTAATTCCAAAAACATTGAATTCAAGAAATCAAACATAGTATAAATATTATAAGTTCTTCAGAAATGAACAAAAACAGTGTGAGAGTGGTCACTGAGTATTTAGCTGTGATCGCACAAAAGCTGCATTTGATAAAGATAAAAAATTGCTAACTAAAAGCAATAAATGACAATATTATGAGAAAAAAATGATTTCTATAACCTAATAGGTGAAATTTTTAATACCAAACATTTTGAAAAAGTTTTTTAACTTTATGCATATATTGAAAGGTGGTATAATTTTAAAAAAACAACAACTATATAATTTATAAATCCAAAATATTAAATACTTAGTATTAAGCAAGCTTATGATAATCAAAAGATCTTCAAGTCTATTAAGCATATCTTTGGCCATGCAGTTAATGAGAATAGAAATTGAGCACTATTAAGGTAAGACTTCTAGTAGACAGCAATAAGACCGGAAAAAGCCTGACATAAGTAATTACTAGCAATATCTTTCCAGAACATCAAAGTAACTTGGGCATTTGAAGACAGTGCATATAAATAACAATCTACAATAATAAAAGCATAATATGCTAATTAGACCAGATGTCCTTCCGGACAACCTTCCAGACAAAGCCTGGGCTGTGAGGGAAGCCCCGGTTCTGGGTACCAGAGGGAAGCCGGTGGAAGGAAGGCCTACTCTTGCATGAATTTCATGCATCGGGCCTCTAGTATCAAAATAAAATGTAATTGCGTGCTTTTCTCATCTTTTGTAAGCATGTCAATATTGTAATAGGTCTTGGCAACTAAAATACATGGAGGAAAACATAATTTGTATGGGACTAAATTCAAGGGTATATAGGTGAAAATACTTAACAAGCAGAGCAACATGGACATCCACCAATCAGAACAGACTCCCACCAGTACTCCATACCAGTGAGACCGCTGTTCATACACACACACACATACATGCACACGCACACACGCATGCTGCTATTTATTTTCAGCCATTTTAAAATAAAATTTTAAATACCAAACACATCAAGATATCCATTTTGTAATCATAACTTAAGATATATTGAAATATTAAGTTGCTGAAATGTACTACATTAGTCTTTTTTAAGGCCATCACACTACCTGAAAATGATGTTTCCTGCACGGTCTGCCTTCCAGGCTTTCACCAAGGCAAAATCCCCTGTAATCGCTTCCTCCAAAATAAAATGTTGACCATTGAACTCCCTCACCTGCAGGAAACAAAGGGGGCGCTGTCAGGTATTTGCACAGCTGCTGTTTGGTTGTGATATGACCTTTGATAAGGTGGATAAGAGGGGCACAAGCTTAGCTGGGAAAGGTTTCTCAGAGAGAGAAGAATCTAAAGGGAGACCCGAAGGATGAGTGTGGTAGGCAACTGGGACTGAGTGAAAGTGCTGGAAGGGGGAACTGAGGGAACAGCATGTGCAAAGGCTCAGTGACAAGCGAGAGCTCGGTCAACCTGAGGAACTGAGCTATGACTGTGTATGTCAGTGTTCACTTTATTACTTGTGTCCATACGTTACGTATTGAACATAATACCTGTCCCTCTTTCCCCATTCCCCAAGGAAAAAACTATACAATGTACTGTTTATGTAAGTGAAATGGTTCTGCCCTACCTGGTTTGGCTCAGTGGATAGAGCATTGGCCTGTGGACTGAAGAATCTCAGGTTCGATTCTGGTTAAGGGCACATGCCTGGGTTGCAGGCTCAATCCCCAGTAGGGGGTGTGCAGGAGGCAGCCAATCAATGATTCTCTCATCATTGATGTTTCAATCTCTCTCTCCCTCTTCCTTCCTTTCTGAAATCAATAAAAATACTTTTTAAAAGAATAAAAATAAATGAAATTGTTTTAAAAGTCCATTCACCTCTCCTAATCCTATCTAATAATAGACAAACATGGTAATTAACTGTACCTTTGCTACCATCGCCATTGGCTGATCAGCATGATATGCAAATTAACCACCAACAAAGATGGCAGCTAATTTGCATACTGCAGGCAGGGCGGGACACCAGAAGCCACCATCCAGGCCCCCGTGTGCAACCCCAGGAGCCACCGGAAAGCCAGGCCGCAGGCAAGGTGGACCCCCGGGACCCAGGAGTCGCCTTGCCTGTGGCCCGTGGTCGTGATCGTGATCAGAAAGCCGGGCCGCAGGCAAGGCGGCACCCCCGGGACCCAGGAGCCCGTTGGCGAGGTCTGCAGGTGAAGCAGCGATAAAGCTATGAGGGGGAAAATGGGGGGCGGAAGGAGCTACAAGAGCAGCTCTGGCCGGAGACTGAAGACTCCAGCCAGAGCCAGGAGCAAAGACTGAAGGCTCCAGCCGCAGCGAAGACTGTGTCCAGAGCGAAGATGGAAGGCGGTGGCCAGAGTGAAGGTCTGGGTCCCGGGTGCCAGAGGAAAACTGGTGCTGGCAGCCAGGGGAAAGAAGGCCTATTGCATGAATCTTCGTGCAACGGGCCTCTAGTTAATACATAATCATCTGTTGAAATTTTAATTGGAAATCCTAGAATTTGTAGAGGAATTTAGAGAGAACTGACACACTATATGGTCCCACCCATAAGCATAATATTTTTTGAAGTCTCTTTTACTTCTTTCAATCGTTTTGCAATTTTCACTCCAAAAGCTTTGTATATGTTTTAGGATTTAGTCACAGGTATCTCATAGCTTCTGATGCTACTATGAATGCAATATTTTATTCTATTATACCTTCTCTTCTGGTCTAATGGAATGCTATTGACTTGTGTATGTTTACTGCCGTTAGTTCTACTATGAATGGAGGGGTCGGGGTGAAGAAGGGAAGAAGCTTAAAACAAAACTATGTCACGGCCCTGGGAACAACGTGGAAGCTGTGCTCCATCCATCACTATGAGGATGGGAGCCATTTACACACAGCACTCCATTCCCATTACCACTGCACCCCCTAGTGGACAAGCAGCATGCGTTTTATAGAAAGCTGCCGTAGAAAGTTTGGGTACATTAACTTCTTTAACTATACTATGGTTTAAAACTGAAATTCTTTCTTTCTTTTTTTAATTCTTTCTTAAACAACAGCTTCCTTAAAGACATTATCCCACCTTCCTTCTAGAAAATATTGAATTTATGGAATCAGTGATGAATGAGGATCTCATTTAATAAAAACTTAGGCAAGTTATATAAAAGATTTGTAAGCTGCACATCAATATCTAGTTTTTTTAAAGGGTATTATGTATTTAAGAGTCATTACTGCGAGCATCAATGATAATGTTTACATATGGAGTATTTTACATACAGATCTAGAAAACTACATATAGATCTAAATGTATGCTAACCCCGGGAAAAGTACATTTTTAAAAATTGGCTTTTTAAATTTTAATTATATAATTTCCTGACGGATCTATGCACTAGGAGTTGGTGAGTTTTAGTTATTATTCTAAAATTTTAAAAAAGGGAAGGAATTGGTTTTGTCTAACTGGCCACTATACTCACTTGAAAGACTTGTGCATTTCATGGCCTCAACTTCATCTTCCAGTCCTTTCTTGAATTCACTCCAGTCAAATTTTCATCACTCCAGAAAAACCCTCTACTCTAAAAGAATTACTCTTCAAAGTCACCAGTGACCTCTGTGTCCAGATCTGATGGTCACTTTCCAATACGCTATTACCCCACCTCGGCACACGCTGACACATTTGATCACACGCTCCTTTGTAAAATGTCCCATCTTTCAAATCGCCTGGGTTTCCCCTTCACTCACTAGACACTTTCCCATTCTTCTTTCCTGCTCCTTCAAGCCCTCTTCCCTACCTTTATATGCAAACGAGGTGTTCTCTCTCTGCTCTCCAACCCTAGCCACTCATCTAGTCCCAAAGACTTGAATACTATATACCGATGCCTCTGAGTTCCCATCCCGAGTGGAGCCTACTGCGTGCCTCCTCTTGGAGCATGGTGGACGTCTTCAACGCACCGGTCTCTGCCAGAGCTCTTGGCTGACCCCCATGCCCGGCCCCTCTCAACAAGCAGCATACTTGATTCTGTCTTCTCTTCCAGCCACCACCAATCCACCAGTAAATCCTGTTGGCTTTACTATGAATATATATCCCTATTCCAACCACTCCTCACCAATTCCACTTTACCTTCCCACCTGAATTAATACAACAGCCTCTTAATCCCTTTCACTGCTGCTGCTCTTGGTCCCTGCAAAAAAAACCTCACTTCCCAACAGCTACAATTTGCCAAAATGTAGCTCAGATCACATCACTCCCCTGCAACTTTCCGCTGGCCGCTCACCACTCTCAGTAAAATCCACACTCACGTGATCTGGCTCCTGTCTCTCTTCAACCTTCAATCCCACTGCTCTCTGCCTCACTAACTCTGTTCCAGTCTCACCACCCTGCTGTTTCACACACAGGACAAGCCTGCCTCAGGACCTTGTCCTCCTTCTGCCTTCGGACTAGATCACAACCCTGTGATCTTTGCCCAGCTCTTTCTCCTATTTCATTCAGGTCTCTCTACCAATGTCACCTTCACAGTGAAGTTTCCCTAACCCTACCTGAAACACTGCCTTCGTGGCCACTGATCCCTCTCTCTGTCCTGGCCCTACTTGATTGACATGTGTGTTTGTCTATTCATTCCCTGTCAGTTCCTCCACCACAGGGGGACTTGGTCTAGACCCCCCTTTTCCAAAGTTCCTGGGAAAGAGGAACTCAACAAATGTCATTGAATTAAGGAATTCACTCACTTCCGCTTCCTACAATAAGCAAGGGAAATAAAGAGCTAATAGGAGTTGTTTCAAGACAAAATTACAAAACTACTAGATTCATGCACCCGACTCAAGGCAGAAATGAACCCAGATATTCAGGACAAAGTCTAGTGTATCCTGTGTTTCCCAGGGTGAGTTAATGCTAGCGAGCTCCTCAAGTATCAACCCAATTTTCTGTCCATCTTTACCTATATTCTTAAGATCCATGGTAATAATTAGACTCTTGCCTTTTACTTGGTCAAGAACTTTTGAAGTTTAATTAGGCATTAAAGATAGAATATCAAAAATGTCAACAAAAGCCAAGATCACCTTGATCAGAACGGCAAGGCTCCAGGTGAAGGGCCTGCTCAGAGGACAGCAGGGCACAGGTTCGAGGACCTAGCATCTCCCTCAGAAAG